TTTTTTATTTATATACATTTTCTATCCAATTCCAATTTTGTCAATCACCCTTTATAATTAGGTTCAGAATCATTAATGTGGTAACTATCAGTCTATCACTATAGTTGTAACTTGTAACAATCCCTTGCCAAGAAGTATCCAAGCCACAAAAATGACTTAAAATTCATTTTTTTTTTTTTTTTATTTTCCATATATCTGAAATCTTTAACAATATGAAAAATAATTCTCACCAAAATATCAGAATTACTAACCCAAGAAAATGAAATATATATATATTTATATAGGGAGATGCTGCATTCCCGTTATGGAACTATTCCGTCGGAGTTTATAATCGTTACATCATCATGTAACCGTCGAAGATAATTGATCTAACTGCTACAAACCCAACGGAATAATTTCAAAAATTGTACTACTAAAAAACAAGACTTGAAGATTTGAGGCGAAGTCATATGCAAACTGTGATCATAATATAACTAAAATATTGCATTATGATAATTAAGTTTTTGTTTGGTTTCTCATGGGAATTTGTGGTCCGTAGCTGTAACGTTTCTATTTCTTTTATTTACCTTTTTTTCTTCTGGGAAACACCAAACATCATATAACAGAGAAATTTCGTAGGCAGTTTTAGTATTACCCAACCACCACCACCACCACCACCACCACCGCCGCCGCCGCAGCAGCTCAGCAGCTCCACCGTCCTCCGCCGTGCCAGTAGGTGAACTTTTCAATACCCCACACTTACATCGCTACTAACCTCTCCGTCTTTTCTACACCCCAAACCCACCTAAAAAAGCTCCTTCCTTTGATCTTTTCCAACAGCAAGAAACTTGGTCAAGCTTGCCCTTTTACTCTATCCTACATGATAAACCAGCCGAAAAAAAAGTTAATAATAGGGTCCCTTTTTTAGATGCATTTGTTCTTTTTTTCTTATTTTCAAGTTTTGCCAGTGTGAATTTTCTGGCTGCTCCGCAATATATTTTATTAGAGTTTATACTCTGAATTTTTATTTGGCCTTGGGCTCTGGTTCAATAGATCAGGCCCTTGGTCTAGCTTCTCGCTTTCGAAAGCGAGTTGCAGCCCTCTTCAAGATTTCAACTTCTAAGATCTATCTAGATTTAGCTCAGTTTTAGCTTCTTGTTGGTGAAAAATATGCTAGCTTTGTTGCTCCTGATTTTTTTGAATTTCATTTGTATATGTGGTTCGGCTAGCACAGGTGCTCACTACAGTAGAGAAAACTAAAAGATTGAAGAATTTGGAGCTGTTAGGCACTTGGGCTTTAAGAAATCAGCTGTTGAAGACATTTGTCAGCTCAAGATTCTTTTTTTTTTGTTGCAGTCGAGGGTGCTTATGATTTTGGCTGTGAATTTAGACAGTGAAGATAGATTTGTCTTGTGGGTACGAAGATCTGATCCAGACGAGGAAAGGGAATCATTAAATATTAGTTTAGATACGTTTTTTGTGGTTGTATACTTATTTACATAATCTTTCGGGATTACCACGAGTGGGCTCAGTGGAACTTCATAAATTTACGGGAGTATAGGTGATCCGGTCTGTGCAGTGGTTGGCTTTCTGAGTTGTTCTGCTCAAGATGATTGATCAATTTATCAATTTTGTGATTAGGCCCCCCAGGTGTGTTCTTATCCTGCTTTCTTTTTTTTTTTTGGTTCTTTATTTTCATTTAGTTTTCGTCTTAAGCAGCTTCTCTGAATTGCATGCAAGTCGATGAAATTTAGACAGATTAATGCTCAAGTTAGTTTCTTGACAGTAGCTACTATCAGTTCATCGCCAACACGCAAAAAAATGAAAAAAAAGGATAAAGAAAGAAAAGGAAAATGTTGATTTACTCCTTATATGGAAGATTTTGGTCCAGCAATTATTTTTGTAATTTTTGTTTGTTTATACCTATGATTAACTTAGGTTGGTTATACAAATTGTTCTGACATAGGATTTTCGATCTTTTAATGTATTGAGCAGCTATCCTTGTAATAAATGTAATATTTTGTGCTGGACATGCATGCCTAACTAGTGCTTTTTTCTGTTCCAACAGACGTTTCTGAGTGATTTTAGAAATGGTTGCCTACAATTCAACAATAGTGATGAGATAAATTCTTTTAGATTTAGTTTATCTCTCCTCGGCTACTTTTTGGTCATGGCCAATGTGGTTCGATTAGAGTGTATATATCGCAACACAACATTTTTTCTGTTATGGGCTAAGATTTTTTTGTATGTCTCGTGTTACTAGTATATGTTTGAACCAAGTTTCATCTTTTTGCATGTGCATCCAGTTTTATGCTATGAACTGAACAATTCAGCTTTGTTTTCAGTTATGTTTTTGGTGTGAACCTTAAAATTGTTAATATCTTCAACTTTTATTCTTTTCCTCTCTGGATATCGGATAGTTTCATATCCAAACTTCTATGAATTTGTCCATCTGATGACAAAACCATTATTGTTTGGCGAATTTTCATAAACATGTAAAATGTGCTCAGTAATAACGTTGCCAGCATTGTAAATTTTCTTTGATCCAATATGCTATGGACTATGGTAACAGGGCTGACTACAACCCGGATCAGTACTTGTGGGAGAAGGAATTTACTCTTGCAGGGAGGAAGTATAAAAGAGAAGACGTGGAGGCAAGTATGGGCATCAGTTTAGAAAAACCAGCCTTTAACATTGAACTGATGCAATATATCCTTATGTACAGTTCTGAAACTATTTATCACATGAAGTTTTGAAAGTTCGTCTCTTTTAAAATTTTCAGCTTAGAAATGAAAGAGGTCATGCCTTGAAGTGTAGCCATTACATTCCTTTGCAGCTCCTGGACGACTCTCCTCTTCCTTGTGTTATATATTGTCATGGAAACAGGTCTTTTATTTTATTAAAATTATATTTGCTAGTATTTCTTGCTGCCATGTGGAATATCTGCTGGCACCATCAACATCCGCCAATATTGAGTGTCATTAGGGTGCAAAGATTATTTGCTCAAGCTGGAAGGAATCAATGAATGGAATCAACCGAAGTTTGAATACTTTAATACATAGGCTAATATATACATTTTTAAGGTAGATAGTGGCAGCTAAGTTTGATCGGTTGAAAAGAATAAAAATGGTAGCTGAGTTTGGCAAAGTCATGCATAAGAGGAAGAACATGGTAGAGAATACCGATACAAGAATTAAACACACACTATATGCTTAAGTTGTTGTGCATACCAATTCCCCTATTTGATAACATTTTTTTTTTTTCCTATTTTTTTCAAAAAGATACATGTTTATGTGGAAGTATTCAGTTAGAGAATGTAATACTCATTTAACCATACAGCATAGTAGAACTTAACGTTATATTTTTTTCCTTTTCATGCAGTGGATGTCGAGCGGATGCAAATGAGGCCGCAGTAGTTCTTCTGCCTTCAAATATCACTGTATTCACTCTTGATTTCTCTGGTTCTGGCTTGTCTGATGGAGATTATGTTAGTCTTGGTTGGCATGAGGTACTTTTTTGTCTTTCTTTCTTACCTTCTTTCGTTCTTTGTTTTCTTCATTCTCACCTCCTTCATCTCTCTTGAGTCTGCTAAATGATTAGTGGGTTGCATGATACATGTAAAATTTCCTGTCCGAATTTTAGAAAATTGACCTCAAGGTTGTGCTATAATATTCATCGTTTTCCCTCTCCAGTCTTCTAAATTGACTAGTGGGTTGTATGAATGATGTAAAATTTCCTGTCTGATATTCAGAAAAATGACCTCAAGGTTGTGCTATCATATTTGAGAAGCAACGAGAAAGTTTCTCGTATTGGTCTATGGGGAAGGTCAATGGGTGCAGTGACAAGGTTGGTGGTTTTCTCTGTGGCTTACATTTTCATGCTGACTATTCATTATCTCCCGGAAAGCTTCCTATGCTTTGCTAATTTTCTACTTCATTTCTGTTTCATGTTTGTTTCCTATGTTATTTTTTTTCATGATTCTGCTGGCCATTTAAGAATAGACTTTGGTAAAATTCTTGGATAACCATACTTGTAGAGTTGTAGTTGATTTAGGACAGTGCAATCTGAAAGGAATTGGGCTGACTATAAATGCTTGGACTCGTGCAAATTCTTTCTGGACCTTTGAATAAAAATATTCATCTTGTCATCCTTAAATATTCAGAAAAATGGGAAATGATACATTATTCTAGTTTAAAACGTGGTAGCTAAGTCTTTGACATCCAGAAGTAGATAACATAGATTATTCTCTGGAAACAAATGCCGATCTTGGCATGGCTTGTTAACTTTTAACTTATCAACATCTAATTTTCTGATTATAGCCTTAAGTGAATCTTGATTTAGATTACATGGCTTGTGGTTTTAATTCTTTTGTTTCATTTATTTATCTTTTGATATGGTATTCTGTTATGGGACTCCTTTTCATTGCAATGGGACATTTACAGAAAGTATCTACCTGATACTAATTCTTTCGTCTAACGTACTGCAGTCTTCTTTATGGAGCAGAAGACCCTTCTATAGCTGGAATGGTATTGGACAGTGCCTTTTCTAATTTGTTTAATCTCATGCTGGAACTTGCTGATGTGTACAAAATCCGGCTTCCTAAATTTACGGTAAGCCCCTTCTGCTAGTATTCCCTTGAAACTTAAGTAGTACGCAAGGAGGCCTGTTCATTTAGTTCTATGCTAGGTCTATTTTTTTACGAATTTGGCTTTAGTAATTTGCTTGAGACTTTCTCCTGTTGCTTAATAGTGTCCACTAATGCTAGATCATTCCTTCAAATTAGTTACTGTCACCTCTTACCAATACAGGTCAAAATGGCTCTTCAGTACATGCGACGAGTAATCCAGAAAAAGGCCAAATTTGATATCACGCGGCTTGATTGCGTTCAGGTCTCTCTAATCAATGCAACCATTGGGATTTTTTTAATCCTCCGACCTTAATTTTTACTCTCTTTCTTTCCATCTCCCTCTCTTTAGCACACAATAAGTCAGTACTAAAGAGCTTTTATTAGTAATATTATTGTACTAATACACTTGAATTTATTGAAATTGGCAGGTTGCTCCGAAGACATTCATTCCAGCTTTATTTGGACACGCAAAAGACGACAAATTCATTCAATCTAGGCACTCAGATGCTATCTTCAAGTCATATGCGGTTTGAAAACATTCTATACGTCTGTTGTGTCACCATATTGGTGTGCCATGTGTTAAAAAAAACTTCCTCTATATTCGTGCAGGGTGATAAAAATATTATCAAGTTTGAAGGTGACCATAACTCATCACGGCCTCAGTTTTATTACGATTCCGTGTCGATTTTCTTTTACAATGTTCTCCGTCCTCCTCGACCTCCATCTGCATACTCATCAAAGATAGATAAATATTATGATCTTGGGGGCATGAAGGTCGGTTCTAGTGTGGAAGAGGTAATTTTTGCCTCATATCTTCATTAAATTGTCAAAATAAGGCGCATCATTAATAATTAACAGTCATTAGCCACGTTGAGCAATTATTTTCTGTAGATTTTCTTATTTTACTTTTTCCCCTCTATATGCAGCTAATTATTTTTTATTTTCCCAGAATATTTTGTATGAGATTATAGCTGGGCTCCGGAATGTGAGTGCTGATGCACCGAGTTCTTCTTCGGCACCACAAACGGTTTCATCTATGAAGTCTGTGGGGGAAATGCTTTCCGACATTGCACCTATTTGTAATGTAATTTTGCGTAAACACTTGCTGTAGTTACATTTTTTCATATTTCTATCACATATTCCACCCTTTTCCAGTTGTGATGCTTGCTTAAGTCTGTTTATAAACCTTGCAAGGGTACTCATTACTTGTTTACTGCAGGAAGCCTTGGATATAGAAGATGCTGAACTTCATGAAAACGGAGCATCTCTAATACAGGTACTGCTTGCATCTGTTGCTTTTGGGTGAAGCCTTATTCAACTCTGTTTGCTTTTTCGGATATAAAACGCTCGATTGTCTGTTGATTTAGGATAAGTCGAGCGGGCAAAACGAAGAGTATTGCTCCTACACGAGCTCGAACAGAGAAAGTTGGGGAAGGTGCTCGTCTCTGGGCAGCGATGACGTACCTTCCATGGAGTGTACAAGCAGCAGCAACTGTGATCAGGTCTCTCTCTCTCTCTCTCTCTCTCTCTCTCTCTCTCTCTCTCTCTCTCTCTCTCTTATAATCTAATGTGAAATATGACACAAATATAGTACATCAATAAAATAGCACATGATTAGCATGTATTCCACCATTAAATGGAACAACTTTGGGACTGAAGGCTACTTCAATTGATTTCTTCCCCATCTCTTTTTTTTTTTTAGTTTGTTATTGTGGTTCTTTAGTGCTTGTCAATGAGCAAATTTACCTGTCAATTATCAGACAACTATAAACGTGCTGGCAACGCCGCTTAGGAATTCTGAACAGAGCACTTTAAACGCTGAGAAAGAAGGTAGCAGCAAGCAGAAGAAAAAGAAAGCTTTGGAAACAAAGAAAAAGTCGAGACGTGAGAAGTTTGAAAAGCTGGAAGCTCTAAGCCAGCGTATCCGCCTTTGCATCCTCAAGCGAGTTAATCATAGAAGACACTGCTCATCATGACTCACTCTCTTCCCCTTCGTTGTAGATTAGGATCGATCATTTGTTTAGCTGGCCATCTTCCCATTTTTTTGTTGTGATTATTTTCCTAAATTTTTGTTGCATTGTGTAAGAAAATGCCTAGTATGTATGATAATATTACTGCGCCACGCGTATGGTTTCTGAACATATTATCGCAGTTATCACCACAGATCCTTAGTTAAGATAAAATATGAACTAGAATGATTTGCTTAAGGAGTTGAATCATGAACCAAACGAGATACGTATTTGTTCGACTGATCAAGAATGCAGAAAATACAACTTCCCAGTTGCGCACTATTATTATTGTAGTGTTTCCAAATGAGCACAAACAACAGATTTTCACACACAACCGAAGAAAATCCTAACCGTCATACCTGTTAACAAGACCATGCACAGGGTCTACAGACACCACTTTCACAAAGCTACAATTATCAGTCATTAAAGTCAAGCATTCACCCACAAACAAAAGATTCCAAACCAGGTCTTGACAATTAACTCTTCTAAGGCCTAACACCCTCCTAACATCCGAACAACCAAATAAGGTTTCGATGCATTTACGTATATTCAGGAAGTGAACACGAGACAACCAAAGCAACGCAGCCCAGCCCGCATGCTGTAATCACACCCAGCTAATCAATTACACAAGTTTCTAACAGAGACCTTGTCCAAGTGATTCCCACTGCTGGCTGGTAATTCTGATGAATGATTATCAAACTGCTCTCTCATCGGGAAAAGCGGGTGTGCCTGTTGGTAAGGTGGGCTTAAGCTGGACTCCAGTATCGAATGTGTCATAACCATCTGTGGCTTCGTAAATGTCACATCCGCATTAAGACGCTGCTTTTTGCCTGACCTCTCGTTCGGGCTATCGAATTGACAGTCAGAATCAGGAGTTAGCGGCTCATGACGAGAGGAAAACGACTCTTCCAGAGAAAGGCTTTTGGCGGCTGCACGCTCTTTTACGGGCTTGTCCAGCGGTGACTCAGATGTTGGGCCAGGAGTCTGTGGGTCAGTTTTGTTATCAGAATTTGGGCCATCCTCGGGCCCAAGGGCTGGGACCCCCAGGCCAGGGGAATCCGAGAGAACGCCACTGAGACGCTGTTGTTCTTCGATGATCTTTTTCAAGTACTTTCCTTGAGCTTCTATCCGCAACTGTAACTGCCTTTGTACCTGTAATATCTATCATCAGTCTACCTGAAATACATTTATCTTATTTCCATATAAGCAAGTACATAAGGCTTTTTTCAAAAGTTTTTAATTGCTGTTATTACCAAATCATACTCTTGGCAATATTTAAATTGAACAATCAGAGAATGTGACGTTTTTGGCAGGTAACAAATGCTGATTATTGAAAAATCGCTGACAGAGTTCAACGCCTTTATGAGAATCAAATTTCGCAATGAAGCAGAAAATCATATACCTCCAATTGCTCGTGCAGCCGTTTCTGAACCTCCATCTGCAGTTTCAGTGCTTCAGTTATTCCACTACAAGGAAGAACAATTTTCTAAGTAAAGTAACAGACAATATTGTAATACAACAACTCATAGCAATTGGGTAATAAGGAGATCAGATACTCAACAAAATAAATAACAAATAATAATCTGAGCTCAGAAGACTACAGGGTGGTATCTCAAAATAATGCTATTAGGCTATATCCTATTACTTCTTCTATTAAAGGAAAAAGTTCATGAATAATTCAAGAATTGCAAAAAAATAAAAATAAAAAAAAAATAAAAATGATGAAGGAACTTCCACTTACGGTGAACCATCCATGCTGGAATGAGTGTCTCCGGATTCTTTCTTTTCGGCTTTTTTGCCTTGCAAATCAAATCAAGTCAAGATTTATCAATAAATGAGAGCCCAAGGAAAATTCACCCCACCAAATTCAATTTGGAGGAAGATTTATCAATAAATGAGAGTCATTAAATGACCTACCATCAGAGGAAGAATCTGGAAGATACTTGGCAAGCCGGTATTTCTGTTTGTGACAATACAAATTAGTTAAATGCAACGAAATGAACGAACATGTCCACACCACTGTGAAATGAATTGTGGCATAACTACCTGCAAGTGGCTTTTTACATGGTAAATCGTTAACCCCTGGACTCCCATGACTCTGAGAACACCTTTAGGAGTAGCTCCTGAAAAAGAACAAATAATGTGTTTGATATTATCGTATATGAAAGAAGCTCCTCCAGACTTTGATCCTCAAAGTCCTTAAAACTCAGCCTTCAAAATAATACTGCACAATAGCCACCGACAGTTTTGAAAATTGGAAAGCAGAAAATAAATGTTCTCTCTTTATTGCTTAGATATGAAACCTGCAGAGCTGACATGTACACAAAACATAAGCTCAAAAAATCAATCTAGATGCATGGACAATTGTAGAAATTCTGAAGATAAAAATACATTTCCAACAAAAATACAAAACACCAAAAGATTCCAAATGGAAAAAGACTCACGATCTGGCCCTCCAAGTTGCGCCACAGCATCAACAAATCTTTCGTGAAGCTCGTGCGTCCAACGAAGCCGTTGCTTAGAGGCCAAACTTGGATTGCTACTTGTATTGTTAGCTCCACTGATAGGATCCATCACGCTTGCACCGCACTCTATTGGCTGATTCCGAATAACTTGGTTTCCGTGAACTAAGCTTGGACTAGGCACACCCTTGGGCTGGTACATGTTTCATTAATCTACAGCAGGGAAAAAAGAAAGAAACGAATCAGCTGAATTCAAATCCTCATGACTCAAGCAATGTAAAAATTCAGGACGAACATATATAACGACATGAACGACAGAGGAAAACCATTCCTTAGTATCATCATAGCTAGTAAAATGAATAACATTTACTTAGTTCCAAAACACTTCATCATTTTTTCTACCTCAACAGAGTTAGAAGGGCCCAATAAGACAAATTGTTACGGTATATCAATCAATCAAGACACGGTGCAAATTTACATAATCGGAATCAAAAAACAACAACGGGCATTTATTGGTATGAGCAACCAAACTTTATACTACAAAATAACTCGCCACAACAATCAAAGATTTAGAGCCACACACACACATGATTTTATCTCTTCTGTTTCCTTAAACAACACGAATTATTTACCATCAATAAAGCAAGAAACAGTGCAAATTTACATAATCGGAATCAAAAAACAACAATGGCCATTTTCAACAAATTATTTAAGGATGGAGAACGAAAAAGAAAATCTTTACATTAGTTCCCATATTGGTATGAGCAACCAAACATTATACTACAAAATAACTCGCCACAACAATCAAAGATTTAGGGCAACACACACACACACACACACACACACACACGATTTTATTATCACTTCTGTTTCCTTAAACAACACGAATTACTTACCACCCACAGCAAAAAAGGGTCGCCCAAACACTAAAACCACTTGCATCAAGACAATTAACTCGAAAAAATTCGAACTTTAGCGAAAAAAATGTCACAAGAAAGAAAAGGGTAAATCAGTACCACAGATCTATGAAATTCCAATCTGCAGCCATCCCAAATTCAACGGTAACCGTAGAAAAAAATCACGCGCCGAGGACTTTAAACCCACATAAACAACGAAAATTTCAGGTGAAGAGAATAAATTATTTAGCTCCGCAGACCTGATTCTATGAAGGGGCCCTGTAAATGGAGTCTTGAAATTAGCAGCACTGAGAGCTATTATAGAAGGGCTCTGAATTTTAATTTTTTTTTTTTTTTTTATATATATATAATTTTTATACTATTATATATCAGCAATTTTCGAAGTATGATAGTGGTTTGTTGTATTTATGTTATGCATGCGTGGGTAAGGCTGACCGAATCTTTTTACTTGCACATTACTATCAACCACCCACCCACCCATTTTCCATTATTTTTCTTAAAGAAACATTGTAAGTTATTCAGTGTCATTACTGTGGTAAAAATATATCACAATTTTTTATTTTGGTAAGACATTCATTGGGCGGATTTAGACATGGCTACGGGCCGGCCTGTAAGTTGCCGGTTCCAAGAACCAACACCGTGACTTTACGGGTCGTATTCGAGT